GCCTCGGCGCCTGCCCCAGGATCGGGCCCGAGCCCCGCAGGCCTGCCCGCCTTCCTGGGCGCGGAGCTGGGCTGCGCCAAAGCCTTCTACCCCGCGTCCCTGAGCCCTCCTGCAGCCGGCACCACGGCGGGTCTGTCCGCCGCACTTCTGCGCCAGGGCCTCAAGACGGACGCAGGCGGTGGTGCGGGCGGCGGGGGCCCCGGGGCAGGGCAGAGGCCTTCCTTCTCTATAGACCACATCATGGGCCACGGTGGCGGCGGGGCAGCACCCCCGGGCGGTGGCGAGGGCTCCCCAGGACCGCCGTTCGCGGCAGCCGCGGGTCCTGGGGGTCAGGCCCAGGTCTTGGCCATGCTGACTGCCCCTGCCCTGGCGCCGGTGGCCAGCCACATCCGCCTCTCGCATCCCGGGGACGCACTCCTGCCCTCAGGGCCCCCGTTTGCAGGCAAAGTCGCCGGCCTCAGTGGCTGCCACTTCTGACCCCAGCGAGCACAGGGTCGGTTGGGCTCGCACTCCTCAGCCTCTCCCGGGAGCTCCTGCGGTCCCAGCGGAACTCAGGGAGTCTATTTATGAAGAGTCTCCAGACCTTGGGTCGGCGCGCGTGACTTGGCACTTAAGGCTCGACGCTTAGAATCTGCGGATAGTTGGGACGAAGCGGGCTCCGTCGCTGAGGGCGAGGCACGCGTCTACGGGAAGAGGTCGGGAGCCAAGATCCCATTCCAGTTGGAGCAGTAAAAGAGCTGGGGGAGCCTTCACTTTCCCCCTGCCTCTGTGTCTCTCGGCAGCCCCGGAAGAATGCATTCCCGGAGAGGTGCTGCCCAGGCCCCGTGATCCCGCCAGAAACACCGACTGCGCTGGGAGGCCTCCCGTTTTGCCTGTCCCCTCACTCCTCCATACTCTTTCCCCAACTTTGAGACTCTGCTTGTCCAATATTATAATTTAAAGACATCTGTTATGCGCTTTGTGCTTACAAGAAAAATTCAACTTTTTTTTTTTTTTGCTGTTCTCCGAGGAAGTTCGTTCCCTCTGAAAAGCAGTGTCTACGCAGGCGGAGCTGAATGGAGAAGTGAAGCGAGGGTCTCCACAATTCCTGCAGAAACCCCGGATCCCACTCCACCGAGGAAATTCCTTTCTCTGTCGTGTTTGGGTGCTTTTAAAGAAACTTTCCCCCTTTTCCATGGCCGGCTGGGTCCAGCCATCCAGGGCCAGCAGCCTTCTCAGCGTTCTGCTCTGTCCCAGGCCCTGTGATATTTATTGTAGCTAAAGGCAATGAAGTTGGGTGGGAGAGAAGGATCTGGGCCAAGGACTGGAGAGATGGGGGTGGGGTGGGCATGCCCTGTGGGGGGTCCTGTAATTATGTGTAAATATCTGTACAGCGAGCTGCTCTCTGCGTTCTCTGTCCACTGGGTGTGCATTGATTTAGACTTTTCCACTGTGGGGAGACTCTGTGAAATCGTCTGATGGTATATGTGGAAGAAAAGAAAAATCTGTCTCCCCCCCACTCCCCATTGGTGTCAATTGAATAAATGTATGTGAACTTCAGCAGTCACCAGCTCTGTCTGCTTGCCTGCACTCCCTTGTCCCTGTCTGGGCTGTCCCCAGAGACCCCCAGGTCCCTGGCAGAGGAGTAGTGAGGAAGGACCCCTGGACAGCCCAGACAGGCAGAGGAGTGTTTGGGCTTATGGGATCCATGGGGCACTGCGGCCTCGGCCTTAATAATGAGGCCCCAGGTCTCTGGGAAGCTTGTGACCCCTCCAGTGCTTTCATTTTCGCTCTGGTCCCAGGAAGCTTTTTACCTGGGTTTTGGTGGAGGAGTTGTGTTTCAAATGCACCTGAGGATTCTCATCTCCTTCTAGTTTAGACTGTAGCATGGCCAGGGTAGATCTGGGAGCTAAGAGCTCATGAACAGTATACCCACTAAGTACAATTTGTGGTAAATCTGTGTCTTGATGTATATTCTATATGCTTCTGTGTGTTTCTGTGTGCAGGGCATTTATGGCGCTTGTGATCCGTTTTTGTGTTTGTCTGGGTTGGCACGTAACCTTGATTTTTGTCTTTTTTTTTTTTTTTTTTTTTTTTTTTTTTTTTG